AGAAAATAACAATGAGTAAACAACCTTTCCTTACCACGTGAATTTGACGTGACTCTCAACAGAGCATGAGATTTTGAATTATTACAAAGCATTACCTGTTCTTCCAGATATTCCCTGAGCCTTACAAGTTCAAACCTGAACGATTCATAGATGAGTCGGGCAATTTGAAGAAGGTTGAGGAGCTCGTTCCATTCTCCATTGGGAAAAGACAATGTCTGGGCGAAGGACTGGCGAGAATGGAGTTGTTCTTGTTTGCTGCAAATGCTTTCAATCGTTTTAAGGCTAGTACACCGTCAATATGGAGATATATGAAAGTTTTCAGTTTGAACCCGATGGAGACCTACCAACGATTAAGAAAGTCTTTGCTGCTACCATGGCGCCGCTAGAATCAAACTGCAGAGCTGTGTATAGATTTTGAATAAGATAGAAACCCGATATAATGACGACAATAATGACTGAACAATGCAATGAACCCGCGTTGTTTGTCTCAACTACAGTCTATTCTCATCTCGTTCATCAGTGATCAAATAAAGGTTGAGTAATTAACTACACTCTAGTAACGTCGGACATCAAACGTTAGCCTATATATAAGAATTGTTTCTCAAAAGATTTCAACCACTTACTTACATTGTTGTATTCAAGTGAGATCACTTTTACATAAATGTTTTTATTAATTCTCATTGGTTTGTTAACCTGGTTTCTTGCTCATCAGTTTTACTTCAAACGACGCAACTATCCACCAGGTTTGCTGTTCGTCCATCTCTGCTTCGCTGTAACTTGCTTTAAGGACCTACACCTCTACCCATCCTAGGTAATTATGCAGAATTGGGCAAACACGAACCTGGTTATGAGGCTTTCAAGAAATGGAGAGAAGAATATGGTTCCGTCTACACAGTATGGCTAGGTTAACATATTTTGCATATCCAAATGCAACAACAGATTCAGGAACTATGCCTGTGGTTTTCTTCTCGGATTATGACGCTATCAAAAAATCGTTCATTCAGAAAGGAGAACTTTTTACAAACAAACTTCAACTGCCCATGCTTACGCAATTTTATCGAGGTACTTTCAAACGTGCGAAAAATATATTTGCTTTTATTGTTTAGAAGGTGATTATGGAGTCGTTGACACCAACGGAGAAACATGGAAAACACATCGCCGGTTTGCTCTTCATCAGTTGCGGGATTTTGGAATGGGCAGACAGCTATTGGAAGATAAGGTATCTTAAACGCTGATTATATTTCGGGAATCAAGTTGTTCAGATCATCACAGAGGCTGAAGCAGTTACCCAAGCGTTATTGAAGGAAGGACCTGTGATTTCTAGCATGCAGGTAACTAACTGACCAAGTAAGAACAACGAATAATCGTTTCTAAGAGTATTTTCGACTGCGCAGTTGGTAGTATTGTCAACCAGTTACTCTTTGGCTATCGATTTGATGAAGTTAGTTTCGATACATAAGCAGGCTATGTGTTTAGCATTCAGAGCAGACAAAATGAACTTCTTGCCATGAAAAAATTGGTGGCTGAACAGATGCGATGGTTTGCTCATCCGACTTTCATGATTATTGCTACTCTCCCAATACTTCGCTTCTTTCCTTATTTCCGCGGATTTTACAACAAGTTGATCAATTCTCTTGAGCATTTACATTTTGTGATTTTCCAGGGTTTTCAAAGGACGTGACGAACTGTTTGGCATCTTTAATAAGCAAGTCGCAGTTCATCGAGAGAAAGTTGCCAAGAAGAGCAAAGACGAAGAAGTGACTGACTATGTGGAAGCATACATTCGGGAGCAGGAGAAGAGAGAGGGTGACGGAGATACAGAATCATACTGGTAAAAAAAACGTTATCGATTGATATAGTTCAATTATTACAGTAACCTTCAACTGTCCAATATGTGTTGCGACCTATGGTTCGCTGGTTTGGATACAACATCTAATACATTAGCTTGGTTGGTTGTGTATATTCTTCATCATCCTGATGTTCAAGTGAGCGCATTTGGATTTTCTAGTTCAATATAATTTTCGGTGTAGAAAAAAGTTCACGAAGAACTTGACAGGGTGATCGGAGACAATAGGGCTATAACAATGGCAGACAAGAACAATCTACCTTACATGAACGCCGTTCTTAATGTGNGTGTATAGATTTTGAATAAATAATAAACCTGCAATGATGATTACAAATGTGAATAAAACAGTGCAATAGACTGGTGTTGTTTGTTTCAACTAGTTCACTAATTTCATGGTCACTGATGATGAAATAGAAATGTGATTATTCACTCGCTCCTAATCAGGAGATGCACTCCATTATTGGGAATGATTAAACGAGCCCTCATTAAGGAACAATTGAGTTACCTCAGTTAGCTGTTATCAGTAGATCACTTCGTAGATAAATACTTGTTGTGAACTGTCAGTGCGATACACAACTGTTTATTTTCCAATCATAAGCCTTGTTGCTCTAGTACGATCTTGTTTGAAGATTCTTTGTCGTTCGTTTTAACTCAAAAAACTATCATAGTTAGTTATAAGCTACCTATAACAGCAGGGATTAACCTACATATTAGCAGCCTTGTAATTAGACCCTTCAAAACAGCAATGTTCATTCCATCAACTTCAGTCTTTCCATTTGTCAGCATTTTCCGAAAAAAATCGAACAATGATCTTGTATGCGAACCGTTTGTGCTCATTCCTTATTTCTTTCGAAATAGTAAAATTGAAATTTATAGACAATCAGTTAGATAATCAGTCTGTTGTATTCAAGTGAGATCACTTCTACATAAATGTTTTTATTGATTCTCATTGGTTTGTTAACCTGGTTTCTTGCTCATCAGTTTTACTTCAAACGACGCAACTATCCACCAGGTTTGCTGTTCGTCAATCTCTGCTTCGCTGTAACTTGCTTTAAGGACCTACACCTCTTCCTCTTCTTGGCAACTTGAGAGAGTTGATGAAACATGAACCTGGATATGGTGCTTACAAAAAATGGAAGGAAGAATATGGCTCTGTTTACACTGTTTGGCTAGGTTTCCCTGTTCTTATACTACTGAATCATTACAACTGATTCAGGAACTTTGCCAGTGGTAGTCTTGACAGACTACGAAACAATAAAAAAATCGTTTATACAGAAAGGCGAGCATTTTATAGACAAGTTTCAGCTGGAGGCCCTTTCGCATCTTTATCGAGGTTTCATAAGTCTCGCGAAGAGTACGAACTTCCTCTTTTAGGTGGTGAATATGGTGTGATTGACACAAACGGAGAAACTTGGAGAACACACCGCAGATTCGCTCTTCATCAATTAAGAGATTTTGGAATGGGAAAGAATTTATTGGAGGAGAAGGTGTTTGATATATATTAAAAACATTAGTAATGTGTATAGATCATAAGAGAGGCTGAAGAGCTGACAGCGGTAATTTTGAAGGAAGGCCCAGCGATCCCAAATATGCAGGTGAAAGTAAATTGATAAAATTGGAGACTAATTTGAATCCTCTGAAGAATTTGTTCGACTGTGGGGTTGGTAGTATTATCAATCAGTTACTTTTCGGTTATCGATTCAAAGAGGTTTGTTATGATTCTGAAAAAACTGGTATGAGCTTGAAACTACAGACCGATAGAGATGATCTTCTCGCAATCAAACATTTGATATCCGAACAGATGCGATGGTTTGCTGATCCGACTTTCACCGTGATTCTGACCTTTCCCGTACTTCGTCATTTCCCATTTTTCAATGGAGTTTTCAAAGAGTTAGTTTTACCGAGCGGTTGCAGTCTAATCTAATCTCTTTAGAGTTTTCAAAGGACGTGACGAACTGTTTGGCATCTTTAATAAGCAAATCGCAGTTCATCGAGAGAAAGTTACCAAGAAGAGCAAAGACGAAGAAGTGACTGACTATGTGGAAGCATACATTCGGGAGCAGGAGAAGAGAGAGGGTGAAGGAGATACAGAATCTTTCTGGTAAAAAAACGTTATCGAAAGATGTAGTTCCATTATTACAGTAACCTTCAACTGTCCAATATGTGCTGGGACCTATGGGTCGCCGGTTTAGAAACAACTTCCAATACATTAGCTTGGTTGATCGTATATACACTTCACAACCTGGATGTTCAGGTGTGAGATTAATGCAAACTGGGCTCATATAAATATCCGCATAGGTAAAGCTACACGAAGAACTTGACAGGGTGATCGGAGACAATAGGGCTATAACAATGGCAGACAAGAACAATCTACCTTACATGAACGCCGTTCTTAATGTG